ATATATATATATATATATATATAATATATATATATATATATATAATATATATATATATATATATGTCGTGCCGAATAGGCAGAACTTGCAATCTTGGCTTAAATAGCAAGGCTCATCTTGCCATATAGGACAAGTGAAAATTTGTGTATGCAATAATTTCGCCAAAATCATTCTGAACCTAACGAAAAAAATATATTTCACTGAGTTTTTTTAGTATTAAATTATTGTAAACAAATCTAAAATATATTTAGTTGGGTTAGGCTAAAATAAATTGCGCTTGTTATAATAAGGTTAGGTAAGTTTTCAAAGATTCTTTTGGTGCAAAATTAAAAATTTTTACATTAACATTAATGAAAAAAATATATCTTTAAACGTATAAGAGAAAATTTCAGAAAGGACTTAATTTTAAATGAGTTCTTGCTAATTGACCAGTTTTACATATTCGGCACGACATATATATATATATATATATATATATATATATATATATAATATATATATATATATATATATATATATATATATATATATATATATGTATTTTTTTTTTCAACAAGTCGGCCGTCTCCCACCGAGGCAGGGTGACCCAAAAAAAAAAGAAAGAAAATCCCCAAAAAGAAAATACTTTCATCATCATTCAACACTTTCACCACACTCGCACATTATCACTGTTTTTGCAGAGGTGCTCAGAATACAACAGTTTAGAAGCATATACGTATAAAGATACACAACATATCCCTCCAAACTGCCAATATCCCAAACCCCTCCTTTAAAGTGCAGGCATTGTACTTCCCATTTCCAGGACTCAAGTCCGACTATATGAAAATAATCGGTTTCCCTGAATCCCTTCACTAAATATTACCCTGCTCACACTCCAACAGATCGTCAGGTCCCAAGTACCATTCGTCTCCATTCACTCCTAACACGCTCACGCACGCTTGCTGGAAGTCCAAGCCCCTTGCCCACAAAACCTCCTTTACCCCCTCTCTCCAACCCTTTCGAGGACGACCCCTACCCCGCCTTCCTTCCCCTATAGATTTATATGATTTCCATGTCATTCTACTTTGATCCATTCTCTCTAAATGACCAAACCACCTCAACAACCCCTCTTCTGCCCTCTGACTAATACTTTTATTTATATATATATATATATATATATATATATTTATATATATATATATATATATATATATATATATATATATATATATATATATATATATATATATCCTTCATGTGGAAGTGGAACAGAATTCTTCCTCCGTAAGCCATGCGTGTTGTAAGAGGCGACTAAAATCCCAGGAGCAAGGGGCTAGTAATCCCTTCTCCTGTATATATTACTAAATGTAAAAGGAGAAACTTGCGTTTTTTCTTTTGGGCCACCCTGCCTTGGTGGGATACGGCCGGTGTGTTGAAATATATATATATATATATATATATATATATATATATATATATATATATATATATATATATATATATATATATATATATATATATATATATATATATACACAGTATAATGCGGGATATATGAAAATTATCGTAGTAGCAGATTTTGAAAAGCGCATGTAATCTGTGGAATGGGAAATGCCATTTTTAAGAACTAGCACATATTTGACTATTGTGGTAAATTAAAGGTACAATTTAAAGGAGGTATAAGTTACCAGCACGATTACAGAGCCCAGGAACATCGCTCACGTCACATGGAAGCTGTAGTAAATCAGGACTGGTGTCGCGCCCTAAACCACACGCTAGTTCCGTAATTCCGTAAACTACAAAGACATGAATTAGAACTACCACGAGAACACAAACACAATCAAGACAGCTACTAGGTAAAACAAGTGGCTTCAGAATCCACTCAACACTTGTTAACTAACGCAAATTATTGAACTTTCTGAAATAAATTTATGGGTGATGGAGGTGGTGCTCTACTCTACCCGTCTACGAAAAACTATGAACTTAATCGTTATGTTATCATAATGGCTACTGATGTCTTTTGACCAACGGTCAAATGTCAAATTTTCAAAAGGCTTTTATTTATTAGTGAAATTATTACTCACAAGACGACTATTTAATATTAATGTAACCAACACTCCAGCGCTCGATAAACGACACTCAATAAAACAGCACAGGGTAAAAATTTCGCGGACAAGAATTTTTAAACACTCTTAAAATGTATCCGTTTTCTCAATCAACACCTTATAATCGTAATCCTCATAAGTCAGGTTCCAGTATACAAGGTCGACGTCTCCCTCCACGTCATCGTAGGAGTAGGTCCTGGTGGAGCAGTCAGCACCAGCGATAGGGACGCGACCGAAGGTGTATCCGATTCCTTCAGGGGCGAAGTAGGATCTGCAGATTTGAACCGTTTGTTTAATACGTTTTTAACGATACCTTCTAGAAAAAGTTAACATATGTATTATTCTTTATACTGTGCAAGTGATGGGGTATTTAACTATACGTGGGATCGTTTCTCTATTGCCTCGGAGAATGTTCCAAAAATCACAGAAAATTGAGCACATTTTACCCTTATATTTTTACCTGAGAAAGTGTTCCTGAACCTCGCTAGAGAGAGAAACCACATTGAGACCTGTTGAGTCACTAAAGGCTCCACCGAAGCCTAGCATAGTCTGGTACATATCTTCTCTGTTCAATACCACATCAGCAGCATCTGGGAAACACACGAGTTATGCACTATGAATGTAGCATATTTTTTTTTTTTTTTTTTTTTTGTAAAATTATAATGTTTGTGGAATTTTTGTATAGTTTTCCTGAAATAAGTGTGTAAAGACTGAATAATATAACAGTTATAAAATGTAGTGTTGGTGTGACTTTTGGATAAGTTTCAAGTCACAAGAGAACCAATGGTCAGGTTAAGGGGACGTCGAAATACAGCGTAGTATAAAACCCTTTGGAGAGTGTAATACAGAAAAATTCTCGTACGATTAGGAGTGTATCGGCGTGAGTGAAAAAAAAAGTGCAATATCTGTATGTCGTGGTCTCTTGTAATTGTGAAATTCAGCCACAATAGAGCTGAAAAGTGGAATATAAGAGACGCAACGTCGTCTGGGAATTTGGCACAACTCAAGTTTTAAGCTTACCAGTTAATTGTACAGTAGATTACTATGTTGGCCAACCTCTGGTATAGCTGTCTGTTAGGGAAGCGTTAAGATGTCACACCCAAGAAATATTTGGGTAAGTCTTCATCAAAATTTTGTATTTATAATGATCCACTTATTATGTAATATAAAATTGATATATGAAATTTATGTACATTTTCTATATACATTCTCTTATAAACGTGTATATATTTTGTAGACTAAACCACTGACTGGTTAAGTCAGGTCATTACTAATCCATATACAGTTCACAACCATAATTTACCAGTGTTATTGCTTTAAATTTAATAATTCATAACTCTTTAAAGGTCCAGCTTATGTGAGTGTGGGATGAGTAGGTGGGCATCGAAGGAGGGACAGTGCTGTGACCCACTCTACCTAAAGTCCCACCTTTCTCCGAGGTACAACTAATATCAGTAAGTGTTATGTCTGTTTTAGTTGTGTCCTCCCCAAATTATGTGTGTAATAATTCAGAACTGTGCCTGTAAACTTCATACACATAATTTCTCACAAAGGTAATGGTTAAAAAATATAAACTATGGCTAAACACAAGCGTTAGGCAACGGAACCTCTCAAGCGCCCACTTCACTCTCATAATTCCGTTTTAATGTATCTGCTAACGTAAGATGCGATCTTTTCAGGACTGGAGTTTACCTGGGATATTTTCATCGGGATATTTTCCAACCGAACAATGACCAATTACCGGGATTCCTTTCACTGGAGACAGGGAAAGTTTCCACGTTGAACCTGAGTCCATCTCTGCTGGAGGTGACGACGGTGAAGCTCCCTTCTTCAGGGTAGTCAATAATACCTGGTTGGTCACAGTGGGTCGCGTCGCAGACGCAGACCACACTGTCGTATTCAAACTGACGAGGGTTGCATTCTAAAGCAGACATGAAATAAAAATTTGATTTTTAATTATAATGAAAGTAAACGTCATATATTTCTAATCTAATACCAGTGTATTAGAAATTATATTACATTGTACAGAGTATATTAGGCAAATAGAACTTGTCTGGACGCAGAATAATATTACATAGGATTAACCGGCAGATGCTGGTGGATGTCCAGTTGATGAAATTTTTATTATACGGGTTTGATTAAAATATTATTATTTTTTTACTTATTCCTCTGTTAAATGTTGCGTCATTAAGTGTAGACCTGTGAACATTCTAGTCGGATGGGGCATTTTATGTTGGTGTTTGGGCAGTGATGGTGATTAGACACGGGTGGTGGTCAAGGGCAGGAGATGGTCAGAGACAAGAGGTGGTCAAGGGCTGGAGGTTGTCAAGGGTAGGAAGTGGTCAAGAGCAGGAGGTGGTCAAGGGCAGGAGGTGGTCAAGGGCTGGAGGTTGTCAAGGGTAGGAAGTGGTCAAGAGCAGGAGGTGGTCAAGGGCAGGAGATGGCCAAAGGCAGGAGGTGGTCAACAGCAAGAGGTTATAGTTACCTTGCGCAGCGACGCAGCTTAATAACGAAAATACAATCACCAACAACCTCATGACTGGTTGTTGTACAAACTTCCGTGTACGTATTTTGAGGAACAGTGATGCTGTACACCATTGACACAATACATTTATACACACAGTCGACCCTGATGCCACCTGCTGGGACGAGCCAGTTTCTCAAACACTCGACGCCACTCAAATCCGATAGCCATATTCATGTATTTATTTCCCTTCCTCTCCCAAGTGAGAAAATATTTCTTGCAATTTATTCATAAAAACAATATTGATAATGGGAATGGATATTCCTTGATTTATCCACGAGGTTATATAATGTTTTCAGGGTTTACTTTCTAGTTTTTGCATATTTGTGGGCTATGGGATTTATTTTTTCGTGCTGAATAGCTTGACTGATAGAGATTTGTGTTTCGTACTTGTTGCCACGTAGGTAACCTAAACTTTTATAAATTTACCACAGAGTTGGTGTCTGTGTGAAGACCATAAGACAAAGTATTTTTTGAAGTGATGAGCCATTAGGTGATTCATCACCCACTGCCTAAAAGCAGTGCGTGTTGAACACAGCATTACAAAAAATCCTCACAGGAATGGTTCAAGATAGTGACTATCAATACTATCAATTAATCATGTTTGTAGTACAATACAGCGTATTTGGTGTACAGTTATATAGTCGCCCGGCCAACCAGAGAGACGCTGTCTCTTTCCTGCTTGAGAATTAAGCGGACATAGTAATAATAATTCCAAAGTTATATTAGTTAATGTGCAGAATTCTTTATTATTAAAAGATATAAGTGAAAATTTCGAGAGACGCAAACCTCAAGGAAAAATGAAGTATGTATTTTTCAACTTTTTCATGGTTAAGCTCGTGGGAACGTAATGGTGTGGAAGGAACTGCGACCAGCAGAATATTTTCCTGTTTTCATGAGGATATTAATAATAATAATAATAATAATAATAATAATAATAATAATAATAATAATAATAATAATAATAATAATAATAATAATAATAATAATAATAATAATAATAATGATAAGAAGAAGAATGAGAATAATGATAATAAGTATAGTCCTTACCTACACTAGGTGAGCTATATCGTCTTACGAACATCAAGAAGGTTGCTGTCTTAATATATTTCTAAAATAATACCTGCGTGCTAGAAATTCCTTACATTGGCCAGTGTAGGAATGTTGCACAACAACGGAGCACTACTGAAGAGAGCACTCTTCTCTCTCAGATTCTTTCATCACAAGTCTTCAATCATTTATATAAAAGTATAACATCTACGTTTTCCCTGCCCTTTGATCTGTTTGTAAAGACCTTGTTTTCTCTGTCATACCTTGCTTCTGGAGTGTGATGGATAAATAGAACTTCTTAGTACGCAAAATGATGGGTGTTCAGTTGAAGAAATTTTTGTCATACGGTTTTCTGAATAGTGATGTGAAATTTGTTCAAAATGACTGTTTTTACTTATTTCTTTTGTTGAAGCAACGAGGATAATCCTCTAAATGTTGAATCAGTAAGTGTAGACTGATTTGTGAACAGTGTAGAAGAGATATTTTATGTCGGTGCTGGGGCAGTGATGGTGATCAAGGGCAGTGATGGTGATCAAGGGCAGTGATGGTGATCAAGGGCAGTGATGGTGATCAAGGGCAGTGATGGTGATCAAGGGCAGTGATGGTGATCAAGGGGAGGGAGTGGTCAGGGGCAGGAGGTGGTCAGGGGCAGGAGGTGGTCAAGGGCAGGAGGTTGTTAAGGGCAGGAGGTTGTCAAGGGAAGGCAGTGGTCAGGGGCAGGAGGTGGTCAAGGGCAGGAGGTGGTCAGGGGCAGGAAGTGGTCAAGGGCAGGAGGTGGTCAGGGGCAGGAGGTGGTCAAGGGCAGGAGTTTGTCAAGGGAAGGCGGTGGTCAGGGGCAGGAGGTGGTCAAGGGCAGGAGGTTGTCAGGGGCAGGAGGTGGTCAAGGGCAAGAGGTTGTCAAGGGCAGGAGGTGGTCAAGGGCAAGAGGTTGTCAGGGGCAGGAGGTGGTCAAGGGCAAGAGGTTGTCAGGGACAGGAGGTGGTCAAGGGCAGGAGGTTGTCAGGGACAGGAGGTGGTCAAGGGCAGGAGGTTGTCAGGGGCAGGAGGTGGTCAAGGGCAGGAGGTTGTCAGGGACAGGAGGTGGTCAAGGGCAAGAGGTTGTCAGGGACAGGAGGTGGTCAAGGGCAGGAGGTTGTCAGGGGCAGGAGGTGGTCAAGGGCAAGAGGTTATTATTACTTTGCGGAGCAACGCAACCTAAAAAACGCCAATATAATCACCAACAATCTCATGATTGGCTGCAGTACACACCTCCGTGTACGTATTTTGAGAAACAGTGCTGCTGTACACTATTGATACAATACATATATATATACACACAGTCGTCCCTGATGCCACCTGCTGGGACGAGCCAGTTTCTCAAACACTCGACGCCACCCAAATTCGATAACAATATTCATGTATTTCCCTTCCTCTTCCAAGTGAGAAAATATTTCTTGTAATTTATCCATAAAAACAATACTGATAATGGGACTGGACGTTCCTTGATATTATCCAGGATTGTTAGTCATATTGGGAGGTTATAAAACGTTGTCAGGATTTACTCTTCTAGTTTTTGCATATTTGTGGGCTCTGGAAAGTTTTTTTTTCCGTGTTGAATAGCTTGACTGATAGAGATTAGTGGTTCGTACTTGTTGCTACGTAGGTAACTTAGACTTTTATAAACTTTGCCTTGTGTCTGTGAAGACCACTGTAGTGGAGGTTCATAGGAGATATGATGGTTGGAGTTAAACACACTTGTTGGATGGTAACACATATATTAGCAGAGTATGAAGGGAGAGAGCCCAAACTGCCTGTCCTGTCGCCTGCTTGGATAACGGGGAACCGAGACCAATGTAGCGCGTCCCACGCACTCATTCGGGATCACGTGACGTCATACAAACTAGTCACTAGGCCTAGCAAAGGGGTCGTGTATGTAAAACATATGGATGGTGCTAACTATGATACTTAGATAAGCTATACAACACATGTAGGGGATCAGCAACTATGCTGACACCACAAGGCAAAGTTTTAAAGGCGATGACCAGTTAAGAAGTGAAACATCCACTGTTCTGCCACAGCTGAATGTCCATAGAATTAAAAAAAAGATCCTCATAGTAATGTTCCAGGATAGTGATTATCAATTAATCTTGTCTGTAATACAATACAGAGTATCTGGAGTACTTTTATATAGTCGCCCGGCCAACAAGAGACACCTTTTTTCTTGCCTGAAAATTAAACAAAGATAGTAACGATAATTCAAGAGCTATATTAGGTAGTGAGCAGAATTAATTATTGATAGAAGATATAAGTGAAACTTTCAAGTGAGATAAAGCTCAAATAAAGTGAAATGATTTTTATTTTCACTCAGTCAAGGTCAAGTTCCTGGGAAAGCAGTATTGTGGAAAGAACCACAATAAGCTGCGTTGTGTAAGTTGAATATTTTCGTCAAGGGTTGAAGCAAAGATTTCATCCCTATTTATGATGATGATAAAAACCAATAATGGAATTAATAAATAATATTAATAATAAGAATAATGAGAATGCTGATAATAAAAATAGTCCCTATCTACACTAGATGAGCTGTCTTACTACAAACATCAAGAAGGTTGCTGTCTTAAGACAGACAAACTTGTCTTTCTTAAAAAAGAGCCACTTGTGCAGCATAAGATCAAGTCTCTGTGTGTGCATGTGTATGCGTGTTTACCCACTTATATGTGGTTGCTAGGGTCGAGCCTTAGCTCCTGGCCTTATCTATTCTTAAAAACTATATATTCGTCCATATTTTTCCAGTTTCTGAACACTCTTAGACTGACGAAATGCTTCCTGATATCCTTGTGTTTTCAACGTATAATTATGAGCTCTCTTTCCCGTTTCGTAAGTTTATTCAGGTATACACAAATACAGTTACATAGATTATCAATTTCCACTTATCAGGCACTATGCCAGTTTGTAGTGATATGTTAAAAAGATTAGCCAAAGGTATGCTAAGTTCCTCTTTACATTCCTTTAACACCCTTGCAAACAGTTCTTACATACCAGCGTATGTGTAGAGAACCTAGGATAACCCAAAAAGGTCAGACAAAGTGACTTATTTCCAGTGGGGTCCTTTAATTTCCAGTGGGGTCTTTAATTTCCAGTGGGGTCCTTTAATTAGCAGTGGGGCCTTTAATTTTCAGTGGGGTCCTTTAATTTCCAGTGGGATCCTTTAATTTCCAGTGGGGTCCTTTAATTTCCAGTGGGGTCCTTTAATTTCCAGTGGGGTCCTTTAATTTCCAGTGGGGTCCTTTAATTTCCAGTGGGGGTCTTTAATTTCCATTGGGGGCCTTTTCCTGCCTCTCGAACACTGAATTTCTCTCCACACTTTAAAGACCCAACCCTGTATGACTCTCGTGTTTCGTCCGCCATTTGAGTGGTCAGTGGTCAGTCGTCACGTGAGGTCAGAGACCCTGAGCTGCTTTGGGGATTAGCGTGGACGGTTACAAAGCATGGCTTGCTTCTGCAGTGTTTTAAAAATTGAGGTTGGAGAGTTGAAGGAGGTCTTGCTTCTCCAGGAGGAGATTAGGAGGCAGAAGGTCCACCTCAATGGGTCTGGGAGAGAGTGTGAGGTGGCTGGAGTTGTGGGGAATCAGGCTTCTAGCAGTGAGGTGCAGTCTGTCTCTCGCTGTGAGGAGGCTGTAGTTGGGGAAGTAGCAACGGCTACCAGCAGTGAGGTGCAGCCCAGCACCTGCTACAAGTGGCGAGTGGTTCACAGTAATGGGAGGCGCATCAGAGTAAGGAAAGTTAAGAATGAAGATCTGAAGGAAGGAAATCGCTTCTCTGTTCTTCAGGATGAATGTACTTCAGTGGCCAGTGAAGGTAAGGGTACTACTGCCCCTGCTAATGGAGGTAAGCGCATTCTTGTGGTTGGTGACTCTCAGGTAAGATATATTGACCGTGCTTTTTGTAATAGGAATAAGAAGATGAGAGATAGAGTGTGCTTCCCTGGAGCTGGTGTTGGGGACATTGTCAACAGGCTGGATAATATCATGTCAGGTAATGGGAACAAGCCCATTATCTGTCTCAGTGCTGGTGGAAATGATATTGGGAAGGGTAGGAGAGAAGAGCTGCTAGATAAGTACAGGTCAGCTATAGATTTCATTAAGTCTAAGGGAGGGATCCCAATCATATGTAGCATCTTGCCTAGAAGGGGAGTAGGAAATGAATGGTTGTCTAGGGCAATTGGTGTAAATTGCTGGCTAGACAGATACTGCAAGGAACTTGCAATCCCATTCATTGACAACTGGAACAACTTTTATGGCAAACATGATATGTATGCAAGGGATGGGGTACATCTCTCTGGGGCAGGGTGGTAGCACTTGCAGACTCGATTGAGAAGGCCATTGGTGAAATGCCTATGATTTTAAACTGATGGAAGATAGAGGTATGGGTATGTGTGGGAAACAAGCAGGTTGCAACACTAGGGTTGGAAACAGTAAATGTATAAAAGGCATTCAGCATGAAGTTATAAATAAAGACAATAGATCAGTCAGCAAACAAAGGGGGACAGCAGAGGGCAGCAAGGGACTAGCTCCCTTAAGGTTTACTATACTAATAGCAGGAGTGTAAGAAATAAGATAGATGAGCTAAGATTAATTGCAAGTGCAGGAAACATAGATATTATTGCTATAACAGAGACCTGGCTCAATCTGAAAGATAGAGAGATGCCCTCTGAATGTCACATACAAGGCTATAAATTATTCCACACTGACAGGGTCAACAGGAAAGGTGGTGAGTAGCGATGTATGTCAGAGACAATTTAAATTGTTGTGTTAGACAAGATATTAAATTAGAAGCGTCAGCCACTGAATCTGTTTGGTTACAGCTTCTCGAGGGCCGAGAAAAACTAATTTTGGGTGTGATTTACAGGGCCCCAAATCTTGATAGGGAGTGCAGTAAACTTCTATGGGACGAAATTCGTAAGGCATCTACATACGAAAATGTTGTGCTAATGGGAGATTTCAACTATAGACAGATTGACTGGAGCAATTTGACAGGAAATTTAGAGTCAGGTGACTTTCTTGATACGATCCAGGATTGTTTTTTAAAACAGTTTGTGACAGAGCCAACTAGGGGAAACAACCTCCTTGACTTGGTTCTTGCCAGTAGGGAAACACTAATTAATAATCTTGAGGTTAATGATGAGCTTGGGGAAAGTGATCACAAATCACTCAGTTTTAATATATCATGGAATTCCCCTAATAATGGCAATCAAGTCTCTGTCCCTGACTTCCGCTTGGCTGATTTCATAGGACTGAAAAATTACTTAGGTGGGTTGAACTGGAATGACCTGACTAAGGGTCAGGTAGGTGGTGATGGTTGCCGATATGATGCTTTCCAGGGCATAGTTCTAGCTGCTCAGTCAAATTATGTTCCAAATAGGGAAATCAGATCAAACAAAAATGATCCTAAATGGATGAACAATAGATTAAAATATCTGACTGGTCAAAAGAGAGGCACATATAGGCAAATCAAAAGAGGAGAGGGGCAAATAAGAAATCGATATATTCAGTTAAAGAGAGAAATAAAAAAGGGAATTAGAAAAGCAAAAAGAGATTATGAGGTTAAAGTTGCAAGAGAATCGAAGACTAACCCAAAAGGATTCTTTCAGGTATACAGAAGTAAGATCAGGGACAAGATAGGCCCACTCAAAAGTTCCTCGGGTCAGCTCACTGACAGTGATAAGGAAATGTGTAGAATTTTTAACACATACTTCCTCTCAGATTTTACACAGGAGGATACCAGCGATATTCCAGTAATGATAAATTATGTAGAACAGGACGATAATAAACTGTGCACGATTAGAGTCACAAGTGACATGGTCCTTAGGCAAATAAATAAATAAAAATCTAACAAATCCCCAGGCCCTGATGAACTGTATGCAAGGGTTCTAAAGGAATGTAAAGAGGAGCTTAGCACACCTTTGGCTAATCTTTTCAACATATCACTACAAACTGGCATAGTGTCAGATAAGTGGAAAATGGCAAATGTGATACCTATTTTCAAAACAGGTGACAGGTCCTTAGCTTCGAACTATAGACCAATAAGCCTAACCTCCATAGTGGGAAAATTTATGGAATCAATAATTGCCGAGGCAGTTCGTAGCCACCTTGAAAAGCATAAATTAATCAACGAATCTCAGCATGGTTTTACAAAGGGGCGTTCCTGCCTTAAGAATTTATTAACTTTTTTCACTAAGGTATTTGAGGAGGTAGATCATGGTAATGAATATGATATTGTGTATATGGACTTCAGTAAGGCTTTTGACAGGGTCCCACATCAGAGACTATTGAGGACAATTAAAGCACATGGAATAGGAGGAGAATTTTTTTCCTGGATAGAGGCATGGTTAACAAATAGGCAGCAGAGAGTTTGCATAAATGGGGAGAAATCAGAGTGGGGAAGCGTCACGAGCGGTGTTCCACAGGGGTCAGTGTTGGGCCCCCTGCTGTTCACAATCTACATAAACGACATAGATGAGGGCATAAAGAGCGACATCGGCAAGTTTGCCGATGGCACCAAAATAGGCCGTCGAATTCATTCTGACGAGGACATTCGAGCACTCCAGGAAGATTTGAATAGACTGATGCAGTGGTCGGAGAAGTGGCAGATGCAGTTTAATATAGACAAATGCAAAGTTCTAAATGTTGGACAGGACAATAACCATGCCACATATAAACTAAATAATGTAGATCTTAATATTACGGATTGCGAAAAAGATTTAGGAGTTCTGGTTAGCAGTAATCTGAAACCAAGACAACAGTGCATAAGTGTTCGCAATAAAGCTAATAGAATCCTTGGCTTCATATCAAGAAGCATAAATAATAGGAGTCCTCAGGTTGTTCTTCAACTCTATACATCCTTGGTTAGGCCTCATTTAGATTATGCTGCACAGTTTTGGTCACCGTATTACAGAATGGATATAAATTCTCTGGAAAATGTACAAAGGAGGATGACAAAGTTGATCCCATGTATCAGAAACCTTCCCTATGAGGATAGACTAAGGGCCCTGAATCTGCACTCTCTAGAAAGACGTAGAATTAGGGGGGATATGATTGAGGTGTATAAATGGAAGACAGGAATAAATAAAGGGATGTAAATAGTGTGCTGAAAATATCTAACCTAGACAGGACTCGCAGCAATGGTTTTAAGTTGGAAAAATTCAGATTCAGGAAGGATATAGGAAAGTACTGGTTTGGTAATAGAGTTGTGGATGAGTGGAACAAACTCCCGAGTACAGTTATAGAGGCCAGAACGTTGTGTAGCTTTAAAAATAGGTTGGATAAATACATGAGTGGATGTGGGTGGGTGTGAGTTGGACCTGATAGCTTGTGCTACCAGGTCGGTTGCCGTGTTCCTCCCTTAAGTCAATGTGACCTGACCTGACTAGGTTGGGTGCATTGGCTTAAGCCGGTAGGAGACTTGGACCTGCCTCGCATGGGCCAGTAGGCCTTCTGCAGTGTTCCTTCGTTCTTATGTTCTTATTATCATGGCATTCCTGGTTCTTTTATCACGTAGTTTAGTCAGGTTCATTTCCTTTAGTCTGTTAATTAGTGTTAGCTTTGGAACTACTCTTGTTACAAACGTCAGCAAGTTCTCCACTTTCTTGACCTACATTACCAGGCCAGGGCTCTATGCTGGTGCTGCATACTCTAAGATGAGCCTGACACATGGCATGTATAATAAATGATTTATTGAGATATGAGGCACACATTTTTTTACATTTTCTGTTTTTTTTTTTCAGTGTTAAATCCTGAAAAAAAATAGTGGTGGAAGAATGTTTGGTTTGCCAGATGCTGGTCATAGCTCTTGTGTCGTCAAAGCTCTTGTGTCGTCAAAGCTCTTGTGTCGTCAAAGCTCTTGTGTCGTCTCTTTTAGAGGAAAAGTTAAATTTTTACTGTTTTTATTAATTCTAATAAATTTCTTCAGTGTCATATGTTTTTCAAAAAAAAAAATTGTTTAGAAATAATCAGGTATTGATTCATCCAGTATTTTCTGATAAAAGATTTTATAATGCTATTGGCTTTAAGAATAAAGTGCTAATTATAATTAGTAACTGCTTAATGAGAGACAACCAGGATTAACCCAAAAATTATACTTTATACCCAAAAAAAAAGGAGAAAATATTATTACGTATATTAAACGAGTGTATTGTACTGTCTTGTCTAGTCATATTCAGTTGGTAATAATAAGTATACTAAGTGGCAACTGTAATATGCTATATCTTTCAAAGGGGGTGATGGGTTCCATGAGGTTGGTAAATGACTCTTGGTCCAAGGAGTTGGAGTTATCCTCTCTTTCCTTAGATCGATCCTTTTCTAGGTGCATTGTGATTGTTATAGGTTTAACACTTTTTCATTAATTTAATAATAATAATAATAATAATAATAATAATAATAATAATAATAATAATAATAATAATAATAATAATTTTATTTTATACAAGTTCAGCACAATTATCAGAATCTAGCTAATAATTTCAACACGTATATTAGTGAGATAAAGACCCGGGCCGGGAGAATACCGGTGAATAAAAAAAAAAAAAAAAAGCTTCTATAAGATCTAGATTATCATTCCTATACAATATTTCCATAATAAATTACTTTGCAGATAAAACGAAAATATAAACCAAGAGAGGTCTTGAGGTCCGGTCCTAAATTCAACTTGGACTGATGGATAAACTGATCTCGCGAAGATTATCAAGCGGACAAAAAAACAAGATATTTCCCCTTCTTTGGTCTTTGACGTAAGTCAGGCTAAATCTGGTCATCCCTGCAGTATTGATCAGGTCGAAGCCTTTTATTAAACATTTTGCAGATTCTGAGGAGCGAACCATTAGTAAGATCTATTAGCTGAGAAGGTTTAGCTTGGTGCTGAAGGATGCTAGTATAGGATTGTCTGGATGGCTTTAGCTGGTATCCTGAAGTTGAGGTAAGTTTCAGATCCATCTGTCACGGTCACATCTTCTTCCACTTCAGCTCTGTGGTCAAAAACGCGAGGTTATTAATGTTGTGTCACCGGGAAAGGACTATTTATGTGAAGTTCTGTCATGGTTGTCAATAACGTTGCTAAGAATACTCAACTTGTTACGTTAAAGGCTTATAGACTGCACTTGGCTAATTATGACTAATTCACCTAGACACTAACATTAGAATGCCTTAACGAATAAAATAAGAATGAAAGGAAACTTTTAGTTTAGTCTGTATAACGAGATTCAAAAACCCATAATTACTAAATGAACGTTAAAATTATATATAAAAATGCTTGTAACAAGTCATTCATTTATTTTGTAGTGGGTGTGGGTGGGTGTGAGTTGGACCTGACTAGCTTGTGCTACTAGGTCAGATGCCGTGCTCCTTCCTTAAGTGAATGTGACCTGACCTGACTAGGTTAGGGCATTAGCTTAAGCCGGTAGGACACTTGGACCTGCCTCCCATGGGCCAGTAGGCCTGATGCAGTGTTCCTTCTTTCTTATGTTCTTATGTTTGTGTATTATATTCATTTGTTTTCAATGAATATAATATGCTTAATCCATATATTTAAAGGTGCCAGTGCCTTTTTTATTGTCTTCCATCCAGAGGCACTCTAAAACCCCTACACGATTAGCGCTTTCACATGAATATATTAATTTCATTCGATTATTATATTATTAAGTAACAGTTTCTCGTTACAAATTAGTAGCGATAAAATTAATTATAAACCGTTATATGTGATCAAGTTACAAATAAACATTTTATTGTGGACAGTAAATCTGTCAATTATTTTGAATTACTGATGTCGACTTACTGACTGTTAAGTTAAGAAAGTTTAACATTACAAATCTTTAGCAATCATTATAAACATTGCGATAAAAATACCAATAACTTTTTATAACAGCTCTTAATAATAGATGTTAATACAAAGCTATATTGTCCAGCTATGGCTGGAGAATCAAGATTAAAATACTGGGTGGGTAACGGCGTGAGAAGCAGAGTCCAAAAGTCAAATTTGCAAACACTGGGACTTATTAGAAAACGTTTTCTGATCAAAATATCTTAGTGTTCTCTTATGTGTATTTTTATTCCACTTGTCGGTATCTAATACATACCAACACAGTGGTGAGGAGGTACTAATGCAGTGGGTAGACAGTAATCGGTAATGTTTTTGTTTTTTTCAAAAATACTGCAAGTTTCTGCCAAAGGCTAATACTGGTTAGAAATCCTTCAGCAAATATTATGGATTTGGGCGGTGTTTCAGATTCTATGAATTGGTGTTGAACAGGTTTGACCAGAAGGCTCATTTCTGGTCGACAATTCTTGATAACTTTGTTACACTAGTGTCCACGGAAAACTAATTAAAACAACCAAAGAGAAAACTATTGACTAAACGGTTGTTGCTTACAGGTTGAGGATAACAACGACGGTGCGGCCTGACGGGTCATTGAAGGCAGCCACCTGCAAGGTAGTGGCCGTCGTCGACCAGGAGATACGCTCAGCACCAGGGACCACGAACTTGCTCACGTGACCAATAGTGTAGAACACTGGTTGCTTGTAAAACTCGTCCGCTTCCTGCACAGGTGAAATATAATTTGTACTGAAACGTCAACCCCTGGAAGTAATAAATTCTAGTTTCTTAAAGAATTTACGAAGTACTAGAGAACACTTTACTAAGACTACACACTCCTGACCATTGAATTCTAACTTAACCAGCGTTTTGCAGACATCTCATTTTGAATATATTGTTTATTTAGACAAGTAAACTTATTATTTTAAATCCTTATATTATTCATGCCGATAACCTCATAAAAGTGTCAACATGCCTCTGCATTGTTAACACTCCAAAACTATTCCTTATCTAAGATTGTCCTGTATTTCAGAACAGTATTTAAATATAAAAAATAATTGAGGCAAAGGCCTAGGTGTGGTATAAGCCTACTGACAGCGTCTACAATGATGGGAGAATCGCGGTATTTGTGGATCCAATTGGGTCCTCCCACAGTGTCGAGAGCCATGTTCCAGTCCAGCCAGCCCGTGGAATAGTGATTCAGATCCTGCAAGAATAAAAGCATTTCTGTGTCATGTCATCTCTTCGTATTTACTCATATGTTTCCGTTTTATATATCTGAATTCCTCAAAAAGCAACCTGAGATACAATACATGGTCAACGTGCAGAACGAACAGCGTGGAATTTAACAGTAATGCCAGTAGGATCCTTTGATCAAGTGTCTCATCTAGTATCATCAGTAAACATTACATTACTCTTAAAGTCCAATTCATAATTTTTATGTGAAGTGACGAGTAAAAACAACCAGATCTTACATCCAACATGTAGTTGACGTATTCCTCAGCTCGCTCCCATGACCCAAGTTGTATTCCGTGTTCTGTAGGTTTTTGAAAGACATTTAAATCTCTTTCACACACAAAAAAAATGTCTATCTTTCAACGTCAAAGCTTTTTTTTTCTATAAAATTACATAAAAATAAGAGTATTCTTATCTGAAGACATCTAGTGAGAACAGACATCACAAAAGAAATATGTGAAAAAAAAAATTGATTACTAATGCGTATCTATGATTATAACCTACCCTGTCATATTATAATTTGGCTATGCTATAAATAAAATACAATCGCTGAACAAGTGTCATTAATGTTCAAAGTGTTATGAACAAAAAGGCGCAGAACTTACGCCATTTACTAGGTACTTACCATGGGCAGCCTCTGTGTAAAGAATGAACCTGTCTGGGTACAGCTCGTGGACCTCGTCGAGAACCTCCGGGTTTGTTCTGGTGTCCTCGTACCAATGTAAAGCTATACCGTAGACGTACTGAGCACTGTCAGGGTCCTCAAGGATCTACAGATAAGGATATATACATTTAGATAATTATTTACCGGTAAGTACTGGTATACTACATAAGTACACAAGTACTTATGTAGTCGCTGTAAAAGAATTATTTTAGTCCTCAAAATAAAAGGCAGTGGCTGATAACACTGAATCTACACTCCCAACGACATGATACACCACTGATAACCATTCTCTGCCTATGACTACCAAAACAAGGGCCATGGTATGAATGGTTGTATGAATATCCCTACCAAACCGAAAATCCGCCTTCCACACAATCATTCGATACACCGATACTGATCAAGAAGGTAAAATCCTGCGTGAGAATTTATTCTCCAACTTTCTTGCAGTAGACTCCATACATAAACTACGAAACCTAGCTAAATAAAAATTACCAGTAATTTAACTACAAAACTTAGCATCCCAGCAGTTCGCTGCTGAGTTAGATATCTCGAGAATCTGACCTTTAATGAAAACCGGATAAATGTATTCTGGCGCACTGGCATTTTGATTAGTATGACATGCAAATATGAGTTTGAAGAGGCTGGGTATTATGAAGAAATTTTTACGAAAGGAGAATATACCTTAGTACTCTTTTTATTAGGTCATGAGATCCATGGCAAGAATGGGGATTGGAAGGATTGGGGTAGGATAGAGAAGCGGAAAAAGTGGTTAGACAGGAAACAAATTGTTAGTAAGGTTAGGTAACCTGACCACTTTGGGTAGGTTTTAAAAGGGTAGTCTTAGACCTTAAATTATTTTCTTGACAAATAATTCATAATAGGTAAGTGTGTCTGAGGACTTACCGGATCGATGTTCCAGGGCAGTGTGTTCCTATTAAAGTCATGTATCATTATTTTCAGGCCACTATATCCAGCAGTGTCTAACGCTGGTCCCAGGTTATCCTTCAACCAGTCTCTTATTGATTCAGAAGACCATCCACAAGTGTTAATATCCCACTGCAAGAATAACATGCTATTAACACTGTGTTGCTGTAATGCCTAAACACATTGCCAACAATATTTTCAGAAGATATTTAAAATCTTGAATAAAATTTAGAGATAGTTTGGCTTAACAGATACTTACGTCAATGAGGCCACCAAGAGGTTCATTCGCTGGAGTTAGCCCCCACAGTTCGACTCCTTCAGCCTCATATGCCTCTACAAATCTGAGAATAGCCAGTCTATTACCATATAACATATATTTTTTAATGTAATTACATATTTTATTACGAGACAGTACAATTGTAATCAGAGCTAAATCGCTGGATCAAAAAGTATGTTAAAATTTCTGGACGTAAAAATCCATACGAACCGTTAATTTATTTTTATTTTTGTATTGAGCAGTCTTATGTTCATCCGCACTGTAAGGCTACTCTAAACTATATGGCATTTACAAAAATCTTTAATGCTCTGTATTTCTCACTCTTATCACTTTGTTTTTTCTATGTTCATTTGCAACTTTCATCTTTTACACTTTCTCTAAAACACCTACTCAAATATTTGAAAATTCTCCTTTGAATCTCTCAATTTTTAAGCAGATTCATTATCCTTTAAATATGCGCTTCCCCATAACACTCTAGGATTCATTTCTTTTACAGTCTCATCTATAACACGTATCCCTATTTATGGCCCACTTCTTGAAGAAGTAAAAGGCTCTTCTTTGACACCTGTATCAACCTGCCACTCAAAAATTATCACCCAACAAAACTCTCGCAAACACTTACTTGACAATGTAATTAGCATAGGGTTGAAAAAACTCTCTTATCAGTACTCCTGAGCCATTGACCGCGCCATTACTCTTCATCCAGGCAGGAGGAGCCCAAGGCGTGGCGATCAGCTTCAGCGGATAAGTTGTCAAATCATGCGCTCGCAGGATCAGAGGAATCTAAAATTAAAATGATTTATATTAGTTTTAGCTCTTTATATAAAAGCTCAGTCTTCATAACACTAATAAAATCAAGTCTTAAGCATAAGATATTTGTTTATATAGAGAAATATGAAAAATATGATGATGAACATTCCGCATCCCTGAGAGAAACTCATGTGATTCACTGATTCTGATATATTTACCTGTAGATAGTATAGTGGTTAACGCTTGGAGATAAAAAGCATCAGGACTCAAGTTAAAATCCGTAAAGAATTGTAAAAATTTTCGTTAGTTGCTTCATGTTACTGTGGAATCTGGAGTCACGGGTAAGAATGATTGGGATAAATTGCCTAAAACACGTTATTATGAAACCAGTAACAATGTTTGGTGTCACGAGTGGTGAGGTGTCTGTCTGGGAGCAATAAGCATGGTGGATCGCATCCCAAGGTTCATCACAATTTGCTAAACTTATGTTTTCTTTGGGAGGAGCGTTGGGTACATAATTATAAATTATCTCACGTAACTCCGAGTGACAGTGGGAATTTTTGTAAAAAAAATTAATTTGGTCTTACAACTGAGGCCTTTCACAATTGTAGAACTGAACCCATTATCGAGACACCGAATCTCTACATATAGTTCCTTGAGGACAAGAAATTCCGTGGCATTTTCCTGCTGGAGTATCCTGGTTGAGGCATGTCTATAACAGCCTCATCATCAGACACTTGATCTATTCCTGCTCGGAGACGATCTCTGCGCTGCTGAGCCTTTCATTCAGTTCAATTTAAAAGGGAAAAACAACAACAATAGTCGTTTACTCGACACCCTTATACTCAGAAACACTTATCTTTTCATCAGCTTGTTGATTTTTCAAACTCATTCCCACAATGCTTGCATGTTCAATTGCTGAGTGGTAACACTTAGGGATTGCATCCCCATGGTTCCTTACACACAATTTTTTTCGCTATACAAAGTTCAGTCAAGTTGGTCCTAAGCCATCGATTTAGGATTACCAGACTGTCATCCTTACCAAAGAACATCAAGCATAAAACAATCTCAAACGATAACTTTTTGAGTTGGTCACGAGAAACTATGGTCATAATTTCGACCACTCGAATTTTGTGATGGAAATGTTTATTTAGGTCATATGTCCTTCTGCATTGTATTCATGTTTGTGTTTTTCTGCACATGTATTCTGTTTATCAATATATATGTATATATAATATATATATATATATATATATATATATATATATATATATATATATATATATATATATATATATATATAATATATATATATATAATATATATATATATATATATATATATATATATATATATAACAACTGAGTTTAAGACGTGTCTAAAACTTAGATCTTGAAAGTTTTACAGGTCAGTCTATCATGGGCTCGTAAATCACATTCATTCCTTGAGTCATTACCTTATATTCGTGATCCTCTTCCGTTAGGCTCCAGTACTCAAGATCAACGTCTCCCTCCACATCATCGTAGGAGTAAATCCTGGTGGAGCAATCGGTGCCAGCGATAGGGATGCGACCAAAGGTGTATCCGATTCCTTCAGGAGCAAAGTAAGATCTGCACGTATTAACAGTTAGATTATTAGTTTTCAACCAGAGAACAATTGAACACAGTACTTGATAATGATTGTTAATATGGGTATGTTGCAGAGGGTTCTCACTATTATTGATTCATTATTACTGTCATCAGTTATTATTATTTTGTTACCTTATAATAGATCTGAAAAAACTAGACTTAACCCTTAGAGTCTTACATGAAGAACTGGTCCTGAAGTTCGCTGGAGAGAGAAACTACATTGTAACCTGTGGAGTCAGAGAAGCCGCCACCGAAGCCTAAGATGGTCTGGTATACGTCTTCTTTGTTCAGTGTCACTACCTCAGCGTCTGGGGAAGCACAAATTGATTACTAATAGGTCATCTAAATGATTTGGACCCGTGACATGAGGCACTCATCTTGTTTTCTGATGAATAACATAATAACAGCACAAGAATTAGTACAGGTATGTGAGCGCACTTTGCAATGTGCAGTGTTGTTAACAACTGAATATTAAGTTGGTGTTACATATAATTATACGTACGAATTCAAGGGATTATAAAATTTTAATTTTGGATGAACGATTATTTGATTGACAAATGTACATTATAACGAAAACTTTACATCTTTGAAATAATTAACTTTCAAGATATTTATATTCTATTGTTGTTAATTCTGAATATGTGAGTTTGTGTAATGAGACGGAAAGTGGAAGGATTGAGCAACTAGGATACAATTTTTTATTTCATGTTTTTCCGTGTATAATTTTTATGATAACATTTACAGAACTTTGGCTGGGAGTTCTGACGTTGGGTTAGGCATTACGTTTTAAGTCAAATTGATTACCAGAATTATTACGGCAATAGTTTTCCTGTTTGTAGTCTTTAATCACCTCTTTTAATATCATAAGAGGATTGTGGTAATTTGCACACTTGCACCGACCTTAAGCTTAAGCTGACTTGCCAGTGGGATTTTGATGACCACTTTTCTGGCTGTACGTTTTGAGGGTCATGGCTAAAATAGCAGTGGTAGAAATAGCTTAACTACCTCACTGGTAGCTTACCTGGAGTTTCTTCACTGGAGACGGGGAGAGTTTCCACGTTGAACCTGAGGCCTTCTCTGCTGGAGGTGATGACGGTGAAGCTTCCTTCTTCAGGGAACTCTATGACGCCTGGTTGATCGCAGTAGGTAGCGTCGCAGACGCAAACCACACTGTCATATGTGAACTGGCGAGGGTTGCATTCTGAGACAAACATGAAATAATATTAAACAATAACTAGGAAATATAATATGTATAATATATATAAGACAGCAGGTAAATCTTATATAATTCTACTTACGTTCATTCAGTACACGCTTATCTTTACTGTCCCGAACGTGCATTAATAACTCCTGCTCCTGTAATATTTCCTTTTCAGTCTAGATGGTCATCTTGTGACTCAGACCTCGTCAGTATAGAAAAAAAAAATCTTGACAAAAATAATTCCCACATTACACTGATGTATTATTACCCAAGGGTAACTCAGGAGAGCCAAGCAATGTAATTTATATCATTTCTGGTCCTTCGGTCCTCTTGGTAATATACTAATTTACTATTAGGTGAAGAGGGGCAGCAGGTGGAAGGAGTCTTGACCGCACGTCCTGTCTCACTCAAGAATCGAACCCTGGTCCTTTCAGTTGAAGATTCTCTTCTGAAGTGTCTAATTTTTATCTACTTACTATACATTTGAAAATATTTCCTGTATCTGTGATTTGGTGGCGCAGTGGTGAAGGTGGTTGTGTGTTGGTGGCTGAGGCAGTGATTGTAAAGAACCTGGTCAGTGTTACCTTGGACTGTGACCTGGTCAATGTTACCTTGGACTGTGACCTGGCCAGTGTTACCTTGGACTGTGACCTGGTCAATGTTCCCTGGACTATGACCTGGTCAATGTCCCTTGGACTGTGACCTGGTCAATGTTACCTTGGACTGTGACCTGGTCAATGTTACCTTGGGCTGCAACGCAGCACAAGAGCGCCAAAACAATGGTCACCTTCCTCATGGCTGGCAGCTGTGCACTCTCATGTGCACCTCTAATGGTACAGTGCTGTGGTACGCCAATGACACGATACATATATATAAATATCCACAGGCGACCCTGGTGCCACCTGCTGGGTCTTGCCACTTTCCCAAACACTCGTCGCCTCCGCCCGCAGTAACGTTCAAACGGGTTAAATGAAAATAAAAATATCTTTCGTTCATATTATTGTGGGTTATAATTTAAGTTAATTTGAGTTTATAATTAGGAATTTCCGACGGGACACCTTGAAGCGGTTACCTGATTTTTTTTCTTCCTTCAAGGTTATCTTATTAGATAGAAAAATAAACACAAATGCAGAATTATGTGATGTACTGTAAATAAGGGAAAGATTCCTTTAACTTCCGGCATATACAGGTAGCCTCCCGATTTTGGTTTCTGTGCGGTAACTTGAGTAAACTTTACAGTGGCGGTAAACTTTCAACGGTGGTTTATCCTTCTTAGAAGATGGTTGTGATTGTTGTTAAGGTTTGTAGGTGCCAATTTGCCAATACAAATTCTAGTAGGATATTTTTCCTTGCAGTAATTTGAGTAGGCTTCTTCTGAAATGCTTTAATCTTTAATGGTTGACACATATTAACGCCTGGACGGTACTCAATAAGTTTAAGCTTAATAGATACAAATTTATTTGTTTCATAATATAAATTCGTTAATAAACTTGGAATTTTTTATTCCGAGCAATAACTGGAGAATGCCTTTCCTGATAAGCTTCAAACTTTTAGCAATAGCGGTCTTTTCCCAAAGAAAGATTAGCATTAATTTTGGCTCATGTAGATTTTCATTTTTTCAGTTTTATTAAACAAATCAGTTTCCACGCAATAACTGGAGAATATCTCCTCTGATCGGCTTCAAACCCTAACTGCTGCTCAATCTAAAACATACATTTTTGGATTGAACTTTGGTTGTGTCTGTGTCACTTCGTCAATTTTATTCAAGATATTTGAAAAAAACTTGAAATACTGGCTTTCGTGTGATAATTTACCAATAGCTCGTCTTATCACACCTTCAACGCTGATACCATATTTTCCGGCATATAAGACGCACGACCATATAATGCATATGAAACAATGTTTGCAAACAGTTGTAACGTAACGTTAGTAAACAACTGCTGAAGCGTAACCCACAGCCTACCCTTGACCCTGACCTTGAGCATATAAGACGCAAGGTGATTGTCCAAGACTTTCTGTGAAGAAGCGCGCCTTATATGCCGGAAAATACGGTATATCATACTTACAGGAAGAATTAGACTGTTACTGAACCGCATAGATGCAAATGTGCAAACTTTGACTCCAGCTCCTCACCTGTCCTCTCCTGATGTTTCAGAGGAAGTATGCAAGTTCCAGTTTCTTAAAATGAATCTATTAATTTTCTAATAAGATTATAGGGAATTTGAAATAGAATATAAACGAGAAGAGAACGTTGAGAAATTTGAAAAAGGCGTTTTTATGGCGTTTTTAATTTTCATGAGCCTAGTGAGCCTTTAAATATCCTATTTTCCTTTGGTTTTATTGTTGATCCTCTCATAAACTGTCCCATAGCTCACACATTGAAGTCCGTGGTTCGATCCATGGTGCCGGTGGAAACATTGGGGGCGTGTTTCCTTAAGACACCTGCTGTCCCTATTTACCAAGCAATAAATAGGTGTCTGGATGTTAGCCGGATGGTGTGGGTCGCATCCTGGGGGGACAAAATTAACGTAATTTGCCTAAAATGCTCTGCATAACCAGGGGCTTTCTATATAGTATGTCATTGATGTCAGCTGTATACCTTGTATCATGTACTTGTAGAAATAAAGATTATTATTATTATTATTATTATTATTATTATTATTATTATTATTATTATTATTATTATTAAAGAATCAGGAAAAATGTTCTTTTAATTCTCTAAGGTTTGTGTTTATTACTTGAGAACTCTTCATGCGATCGGCTTTAAACTGTCAACGCGATGCTAATACATTCTACGGGTCTTTAGATTATTGTCCTGTGTAGTAATGCTGAACTGGAGATTAGTCTTTGCATTTGTTTATTGACCGACATTTGTAATAAAAAACCACAATAATTATAACAGAATGTTTTATCCCCCAAAAAATCCGACAAATTGTTTTTCCAAAAAATTCCAACAATTTTACAAAAAAAAAAAAAAAATATCCAACAAATTATTTAGCAAAAATTCCAACAATGTCATCGTCCTTAACCAAAGTGTTAGTGTCAAAGATCGTTAACTATAACATTCCTGTAAACCAGTTAATTTATATCCATTAAGTAGTTACAAAGTTTATTTTAGTTAAGGCTGCCCACTACATGTAGCCAGGAGCATCATACAAGGTACGTCAATAATGTCCACTATTCCCGAGTCAGCAGTGAAGTTGTATTTTGTAGATATAAAGGCTATCATTTATCATCACTGTAAATTATTTATCGGAACCTGGGTGAAGTTCATGGAACTGCAGGCATGTGTAGGTGACCTCTGGCCATTTCATTCATTCATTAGAGGTTTGCCGGTACTTCCGGCCCGGGTCTTCTCCATATGGTGGCTCGGCCTGGCCTTTTTTAATAATAATTGCCATTATGGGGCGAACTAACAGTACTATTATTATTATTATTATTATTATTATTATTATTATTATTATTATTATTATTATTACAAGTATTGATTCGAGAGCCATAAGGCATTTCACAGACTGATACTGCTGAATCCAATATACGTCACGAGTGTGGGAACCACTAACTCCTTCTGACGCAGATGATTTGTGGTACGTAAAGTACGATTTGTTAAGTGGTCTTGAAGGTATGACTACTGGCGATATCTTATATTAGCCCTACGTACGGAGGGACGCTTCCCAATGTTTCTGGCATGAACGATGCAGAGGATGGGAGCTGGTGGTGTGAACACAGAGTGACGTGGGAGGTTCTCTCGAGCTGTCGTAAACATTACCAATGTCCTCTTCATCTACGGAACTACAGTAATAATAATAATAATAATAATAATAATAATAATAATAATAATAATAATAATAATAATAATAATAATAATAATAGAATCAATGATAGGACCCGTCCATGGGACTACAGATTCCCACGAGTTTTAAACATCGCTCCAAAAATCTCAAAATATTGAACGAGTGTTATTTTTTCGTTTATTTCATTTACAACGGCAATGCCCTCATCAATCAAGACCGCCATTGTGTCGATTTTTTGTATTATACAACCGAACCTTAAATTGTTGTTCATGTATTTTTAAGTTTACCAGGAAAAAGAGTTTTTACATTAGAGTTCATTTGGTCTAGTGTTTGTACTCTATGCTCAAGGATGTTTATTTTCGGGAAGCTGTGATATCTTGTTAAACAGATTGGAGTGATGGAGATTTGATCTCTTTATCGAGAAACTCATGTGGTGTCAGATCTTTCTGTTAAAATGTTGTCTGAATGACAGGTGAGATCGCCAGGTAGAGGTCGCCATATCATGTGGGGTTCGAACACGTGGATAGGGTAAAGTAATACTCACGTAGGCTGGAAGTATGTATAATTACGGATAATGTGGGGAGCGCCCTAACAGCCGTAACCTTGTCTCCTTGCTCACTCTCGTAACACTGACTGGCCGCCCACAGTACCCATATGTGAGGGGGTCTTTGAATACTGCTGTGGTCAGCACAATATGAATACAGACAGTGACTCAGGCAGAGACGGTTGGTAGTGAGTCGTCTACTGGTACACTGGTTACTGGTAACTGGTTACTTCTACTGAGAGCTCGGCGACGCTAACGTATGTCGTCCCGACATACAACTAATACAAACTAGAGATGGCAGGTGTACGGCTTGGGCTGATTCTATACAATGTCAAAGTACACAACAATTAAACATTATAACATACATAAGTAGAACATTGGAATGGAAGCTTACGTAACTGAAACTGTAATGCAATACAAGGTATAATATAGCACAACTCATCGAATGAAACTCAACGTTGGGATTACACAGTGGAAGTGATAAAAAAAAATTTGATCGATCGATCTGTATTCATGTGATCTACGGATTCTGAGGAAGGAATATATACAAAAAAAGAGTGTTTAACAGAAAGGCAGATTCAGTGTACTCAAATCTAGACTGTTAACTCTCAGAACTCAAAGAGAATGTGAACACAAAAAAAAAAAATTCTTGAATACTGACAAGTTGATACTGTAATTATTCACCTATACAGAATACAAGGTATCGGTTCTTTCTTACTGGAGGAATGAACAAACTCGGTGGAGTGGATGACTCCCCCCGGTTGAAAAAAATTAACGCTATAACACGCAATATGAGCAAGGGAGAACGAATCTACTATCTCAAACTGCAAGCACAGGAGAAAAGAAATGAACACGGTGAACAATGCTGATATTCTGAGTCGCACACAGTGACACGAGGTATCAACTATAAAGAAACTACACTTACAAACGCTAACAACGTGGAAGTTACTCGAGAAATAACTTCTTACAATGCACTGATTACTGTCAACTAGGATGGGATCACAATCTGAAACACAAGGGACAACAACAACACCAAGTGAGCACACTAGCCACAGAAACGTCTTTCTGCACGGCTTGTGGCATCAGCAAGAGATGGCATAACTCATTGCAAGTAAAGTTCTTCTCAAAGCGTCCCCTGGGAAGGAACGAATACTTGAACAAGTCACCATCGCAAGGATAGTAGTCTCAGCACTATCCTGCGTTCATGATATTGTGGCTGGAATCCAGACAGGAGTGACAGTATACTAGTGCCTGACCGCTCGGCTACGTTAATAAATAATTCACGGATCTATAGGAACTTAATCTGAACTTCACATTTCGCAGCACTTAACAAATCTCAGATACAAGCTGTGAGAACAAACACATTGCTCAAGGGCTAGGTATTGTCTTTCAGTCAGTAAGGGAATGTTGGTACTGTGGACTGATTCATATTGACTTTGACTGGCATGATACACTAAGTGAACATTCAAAAGTGACTGGGACATGATCTCAGGGAACTTACT